GTGAAAAACTGTTCTTTAAGAAAGTAATTGGAGTGTTTTTGTTCATAAATTTTCCCTTTTCAAATTCCCTTTCAGAAAGCTGAAACAAGTCAAGAGTTAGTGAAAATACTGGGAAACAAGTGGGGAAATTCATGAAAATAATAACAAAGCTTACAAGACTACAAATATAGGGTTTTTTGGATGTGTGAGTGTGAATGTGTGTGTGTGTATGTTTATATATGTGTATGTGTACGTATGTGTAAACACCTGTTTCTGGAGTGAGAATTTTGTGCAGCTGTTTTCTAGTGTAGGCTCATATTTTTGGATTGGCTTATCTGTTCTGCCAAAGAAGGCAGTTTGTGTGCTAAATATTACTGGAGATTGCCATCTGTATGCCTTCTTTTAGTGATCTGAAGGCTTTGCCAAATTAAAAACAGCTCCTCACACACACAAAAATTGAAGACTTTTCTCAAGAACGTTAGTTTTATATTATTTTTTCATTAAAGAATTGTTTTTGATTATGTAAATTTTAAAAAGTGACTGCTGTTTTACTATTTTCTAATCTTATCTAAATTCAGAACATTAGGAAATTCAAAGTTCTTATGATTTTACTTTGTATATGAAATTTATCAGAGAAACTTGTTTAATTTTTTGTGATATACAAGGACTTAAACTGAGGCCTTGTCCTATGGTTTGGCTTTCTTGCTCACAACTGGTGTTCTACTACTTGAGCCAGGCTTCCAGTCTTTTATTTTGCTAGTTAAGTGAGGATGGCATCTCAACAGATTTTTCTGCCTTAGCTGGCTTCAAACCTCCATCCTTAAGGCTCAGCCTCTTGAGTAGAATTATAGGCATGAGCCACTGACACCTGGTTTAGACAAATTTATTTTATAAAAAATAGACACAGTTATTAGAGTATAATACTTTATGGAAGAAAACATTTAACATGGGAATTCAAAGGGACCAATGGATCATTTTTTTGCGGGAGGGCGGGGGCGGGCAGTATTGGGGTTTGAACTCAAGGCTTTATGTTTTTGAAGTAGGTACTCTACCACTTGAACTATGCCTCCAGCCCACTATTTTAAATCTGTTTTTCTTTTGATTTTCTATATCATATGAGGAGTTTGATTAAGGTTGAACTCTACACAGAATATTACCTGGAAAAGTCACTCCTGTAATCCTTAGGTTGAAACAATTGTTACCTTACCATCAGAAACAATAAGGGAATTTTTGTTTATCCTTTGATAAAGGCACATTTGAGTTTGCTTTTATTAAGAGAATAGCTAAGAATGAAATAGAATTCAGAATATTTAGAGAAAGTAGTGCTGGGCATGATGGCTCATGCCTGTAATCCTAGCTACTTAGGAGGCTGAAACTGAGGATCGAGGTTCTAAGCCAGCCCGGGCAGGAAAGGTCATGAGACTTATCTCAAATTAATCACTCAGAAAACTGGAAGTGGTGGTGTGGCTAAAGTGGTAGAGCACTAGCCTTGAGCTGAATAGCTCAGGGACAGTTCCCAGGCCCAGAGTTCAAGCCCCATGATAAAAAAAAAAAAAAGAAAGAAAGAAAAGAGAAAGTAGTTATTTAATATGTATAAGCTGTCATGGTTAGTTGATACAGATTTACTTATTTGCTTATTTATTTATTGTTTTGTCAGTCATGGGGCCTGATCTCTGGGCCTGGTCACTGTCCCTCAGCTCTTCAGCTCAAGGCTAGCACTGTGCCACTTGAGCCACAGTGCCTCTTCTGGCTTTTTCTGTTTATATGGCGCTGAGGAATCAAACACAGGGCCTCATGCATGCAAGGCAAGCACTCTACCACTGAGCCAACTTCCCAACCCTAAAATTTTTTTCATTGTTATTATGAAGGTAATGTACAGAAGGTTTACAGTTATATGTCAGGTTAAAAAGAGTACATTTCATTTTGGGGGAATGTTACCCCTTCCTTTGTTTAATTGATGTAAATTTCAATGAATGAAATTGAACTATGTTTTCTTTTCTTTTTTTTAGACAGTCTTGCTAGGTAGCAAAAGCTGACTTCAGACTTCTAATCCTCTTCCTCCTGGGTCCTCAGATGAAAGGCATGTGCTATCACATCCAGCTAGAAGTACATTTTATTTTAGTGTTGAGTTACTCTTTTTCTTCTCATAAGGTTTGTAATGTCCTAATAAGGTTCAGGAAGAATCTTACATTAGTTCTCACAAGCAAAAAAAAACCTATCAGCATTTTCTTTTGTGTCATATTTGCTATATGTAAATTCTTTAAGGTTTGTATTTTGTGTTTGGTAGGACAGTTTTAAGATACAGGCATTCTAGTCTTTTCTGTGATCTTCCTGTGACCCTACCTCCCACCCCCTTTTTTTTTGTGCCAGTAGTAGGGCTTGAACTCAAGACCTTAGGCTCTGGTATGCTTTTGCTTGTCTTTTTCATTCCAAGGTGGTGCTGCGCCACTTAAGCTGCACCTCTATTTCCAGCTTTTTGGTAGTTAATTAGTGATAAGAGTCCCATGTAGTTTCCTGCCTGGGCTGGCTTCAAACCTCTGTCAGACTCCGGAGTAGCTAGGATTGGAGGGGTGAGCCACCAGCACCCAACCTAAATTGTCTTTTTAACATCTTACAGCATATTGATTCTTAGAGAATATATCAGTTCTATATGCTTTTGAAACTTTACTTAGATGGAAAATTTGTATCAGAAGGTGTGTATAGTGGAGTTTCTTAGAGACAACGCACATCTTTACTAGATACTGGTAAATAATTTCTAGAAGTGGTTGTACTAATATACACTCCTATCATTAGAGTATAAGGAATCAGGTTGTTCTTTATTCTTTCCGTTTGTTTAAGAAATTGGTACTTGTAGCAGTAAAAATGATAAGAAGCCCTGTCACCAAGCAATTTATATTTTAGTGGCAAAAAATAGCTAAAATATATGACATAGCAGAGTGGTACATATTTTATGGGGAGAAATAAAACAAATGACTGATATTATTTCCCTGCTAATTAGTTCACTCTAATCCTCAGGTAGAGGATTAAGCGTCTAGGGGATGAAGTAAAACCAGGAAGGCTTGGGCATTTATGATTGACATGAACAGAGATGCAAATATGAGGTTGGTCTTGATGTTTTCAAGCACATAGTAATGAATCTGAATGTTGGGAGATGAGATCTTGCTAAGAGGGGTTCTGGGACCCCTCTCTCTTCACTCCTATTTAACAAATAATAAGGTTAAAGAATAAGCTCAGAGTCTGATATCAAATGGTGTTTTAAGCGTTTGGGATTTAAGAGAGCCCTCTTAACTGTTGGCTATAGTGGTTTCAAGGATATCTTGTCTAAACATGGAACAGTTGATTAAGCAGTATTTGGATACTTGGGTTCAGCAACACTTTAATGCTTGTCTGACTCTTGAAATTGGGAGGGGAATGGAGATTGGGAAAAGAGTAGAACTATTTTGAGCCCATGAATTTTAGGGTTCTACTTGACCTCCTGTATGGGGAGATGTGGAATACTAAGAGAGGCGTGGCTTTGCCCGAGTATGTGGATCTCCCATTGTCAAAATTTGTTGTTGTTTGGCCAATCTGGTAGAAAAAGTATCTTGCTCTGTTTAATTCCATTTCCTTGATTTTACTCTAAAAATCCAAAATTACCCTATTTATATCTCAGACTTGGTCACTTACTTTTATCATTTATATTTAATGAGCTTCATGATTATTGGAGTTTTATTTGCTACTATCTGCACCATAATTAGATACCTAAGATTTAATGTAGCAATTGAATTTTTATTATGGTGGCTTATGTGAGCAGATCCTCAGTGAAATCTCCTATATTGTCACCATTACCCTCTTTATCTGTTGCTCACTCAGCCTGTGGAGTTTGATTCGGTAGCCCTCACCTTTACTTAAAGCCTCCAAAACATACTGACCCTCATTCACTTCCTTCAATGCTCCCATCATAGGGCTCCATTTCATAGCACCATTAGAACCTCTTCAGTTCCTTTATCAATTTGCTATTTTAAAGTCTGAGGATCACAGCAGTTTTAGAATATACTTTGACTGATTACAACCAAGGAAATAGCTCTCTTTTCTTTTCGGGCCAGCAGTTCCTTTGTACAGTTTTACCACCTATACTGTGCTCAGTGTCTTCCTTATTATTCTTACCTGATGAAGCGTGAGAATTTACAAAAAAAAAAAAAAAATCAAAAACACTGGAGAAAGCTAAGGTACATAATGTAATTTAATAATCCGTGGCACTTCCTAGGTGGCCATCGAGTTGTTCCATATCTCCTACTTTCCCATCTTGTTTACATGTTACCTTCAGCATTAGGAGGGAGCGCAAAGATGATAGCATCTGCAAGTTCCAACTGATAGCATGCATTTCTCATGAATAACTCAGGTCTTGTTCAAGACTATGCCTTACTTGCCTTTTTAAACTGAACTGACAGGTACATCAACTAGTGAAGATAGATGAGGGTTGTGAGACCTATCCCATTAATGGTAACTTTCAAAAGGGTTTTTAACCAACTTCCTATAGTTAGCTAACTTAACTATTATCTAGTAATTTTGTAAGCCTGTGATAGAATTAATATTACTAAGGAAATACCATATATACCACTCATTCTACAGTAGAGATTTCAAAGTTTTACCAGAATAAATATACTTACGCAGGCCTTATTATTCCCAAAGTACAAAAGCAGTAGGAAAAAAAAATGTAGTCCTAAAAAAAAAAATCCTAGTATAAATCCTGAATGATCTGAAGCCTTGCTAGTGCCTATATGAACATAAAAATAACCTAACAGATCCATTGGTTTGAACTATATTAAACTGTCATGGGAAAATCATGAAGTAATTCTCATCCACTTTTACTCACATAATTTCCAAATGCATGTTTCTAATACTGTGAGCAACTGCAAAGCCCATATGAGTCGTCTGAAGTTTTATCATTTGCAGGTGTGTGACGCATTCTCAGACCCTCCAGACAACTCAACATCAGCCACTTCTTTGTGACTGGATCCAGATTCTCCCAAGACAGATTTCATTGGATCCACATTCAAGAAGACTACGGCTTTTCCACAACCTCACTACATCACTATAAAGTGCCAAGGCCTTAAGACTTGGGTACGTGTATTACAACGGCAAGAGTGCCAGCACCAACAAAAGATTATTGGACTGCTCCTCTGTTTCACCAAGCATACTAATCTTACAACACAAAGTATGCCAAGTGCCTCTATGTGACATCACCACCAGCTGATCACGCACAAGAGAAAAATAATTAGACTAGAGTGTTATCTTTTCTTGAGAAGCTGGGATTGAAGGAGCTGTTTTGAGATCTGTGCTGCTAGTAAGTGACTGGATTGGTCCCTGAGTTCAGAGACTGAGTTGCAAGTGAATGAAAAATAGACAACGAAATCTTGAAGAATTGCACTGAAGTGCAAGCCAGATTTAACCCTCTTCAAGTAATACTGTTTGAACTGAGAAATTGCTAAGCCAAACCTGTTACAGGACTGATTATTTGGGTATCTCTGTCATTGTTACCTCTTGCTGTTACATTGTTCCTTGTTCTCTCTTTCTAAGTCCAGATGTTCTCTGATAATTCACATTGCCCTGACTGTGGGCAACAGTGGTTCCCTAGTTTAGAACTAGGCCATTGGTTATACCAAACTGAACTTGTTGAAAATGAATGTTACCAGGTCTTCTTAGACCGTATTAATAGGGCTGATTATTGCCCTGAATGCTATCCTGATAATCCTGCCAATAGAAGCCTTGTTCTTCCTTGGTCTTTCCCACTTGAATGGGCTCCCCAAAATCTCACCAGGTGGACCTTTGAAAAAGCTTGTCATCCATTTCTTCTGGGTCCTCCACTGGTTAGAAAAAGGATCCATGATTCCAGAGTAGCTGGTTTTAACCCGGCTTTACAGTTAATCTTGACCAGAACAGATAAAACCTTAAATAAGAAACTTGGCCAAAACAAGTAACTTCTTAACAGTCAGAATCATGGAGACTGTAAAGGATTTGTGTTAGTAGCTCAGAGAATATGAAATAAGAATTCATTTATATTTTATCTTTCTCTTGCTCTTTTTTTTCTCTCTCTCTCTCTCTCTCTCGTGTGTGTGTGTGTGTGTGTGTGTGTGTGTGTGTGTGTGTGTGTGTGTGTGTGTGTGTGTGTGTGTGTGTGTGTGTGTGTGTTGCTGGTTGGGGATTGAACCTGGGACCTTGTACATGCTCTGCAAGTGCTCTACCGCTGAGCTATACTCCCAGCCCTCTTTTCTGAATCTGACCCAGACTGTCCCTACTATTTGGGGAATTGCTTAAATAGCTGGGTCTGCTTCTGTGGTTGTGCATTTTCTTTTTTTAATTCAGTATGAGTTTAGTATTCCAGCCAGACTAACCCATAATCCTATAATCTGTTTTGGAACTAATATGCCTTTCCTGAAATTCCATAGCCTATACTGACAATGTAGCCTGGATAGGAGGCCCCATGTTGTTATAAATTCCCTTGCTTATCCATTAGTGATAATGAGCTATATGTGTTTATATGTATGTATATCTATAGAATTTATTCATATATAGCCATATATAACCATTGGCTCTGTTTGATTCCATTATCAGTCACCATCAGAGAATATTGATGTTGATAGCTGGTCACTCAGAAAAATCACATTTTATTAAGTAGTACTTAGATTACACAAAAATTTGTGAAAATGCTGCCTGTTTACACTTACTTGGCTCTGTATAACCAAAGACTGTCCTGTCTTTGTGGTGATTGAATTTAAAATGTCATCCTCTGGAGATGGAAATACCATTGTATCTATATGAAATTTATGACAAAAGGAATTATTAAGCTTGACTCCATATAATTTATGAACAATCTGTTGATGGTGTTTTTGCAGGATACTTCTGGACATTAGCCACATTTTGGCCTTCTCATAAAAGTTGTGGAACCAGAGGTGCAGTTTAGTAACTTAGAAAAAGCTTTGAAGACATCTCAGAGGACACTGAACAATTTATAAATTCTGCTTAAGACTCTAGATAATCCAGTGCTTATGTAACAGCAATGTTATCAAGGACCAGGTTCTTTCTATCTGTCCCTCTTGGGATTCTTATAATGTTTGCTTTTTGTCCTCATGGTTGTTTCTTTAGTACAATATGTTTGTTGGGGCAGATACTTCAATGTCAACATAAGGCTGGAAGTGGTCACAGAAAGTTTTCTCCTTTCAAGCCTGTCTTTTATTTGGGATTAAAACCTTCCCCATAAATCTCTAGCAGATTTGTTTTTACATTTTATTAGAAGGTACTGGTTCACAAAAAAGCCTGGGAAAACCCTTCAAAGGAGACTTGTTGGCCTTATCTGGGGTAAGGCACTTTGCCTCTACTGATAAGATCAGAATTCTTTCAGGAAAGAAGAAATGGAGAGGAGGTTGAATGGCTGTTAATAATGCAACATCATACTTGCCATGTGTTGTGAAACCTAAGAATTTGTTAATGTGTATCAAGAATGTACCCCAGAGATCCATCCCTGTATCTGCCTTATGTCTATCATGATGGAGTTTCTCTCCTGTTATACTGAATAAACTGTGTGGACTGTTAAATTGAGTAAAGACCCAGTTAGTCATTAACCTATGATGAAGAATTTCTTCACTAAATGAATATTTTCTAAGTATAAGTGTTGTAAAAAATGAAGATTTACTTTAGTGCTTTAGAGGATGGTTTGGGAATTAACTTCATTGCCCTTAAAAATTTCAAGTTATTGGAGAATGCTGTGCTCCAAGGATACATGTACTTAAAAACACTGAAATTTTAAATACTAGGAAAATAGAGAAAACGTCTTAATGTTTTTATTGTCAATCATGGGGCCTGAACTCTGGGCCTGGGCACTGTCCCTCAGCTCTTCAGCTCAAGGTTAGTGCTCTACCACTTGAGCCACAATGCCACTTCCAGCTTTTTCTGCTTAGGTGGTGCTGAGGAATCAAACCGAGGGCCTTATGCATGCAAGGAAAGCACTCTACCACTGAGCTACTTTCCCAGCTTTTAGCTGTTTTTTGTTTTTTAAATTGTACCAGGGATTGTATTTAGGACCTCACACTTGTGTTCTATTGCCTGAATCATGTCCCAAATCTTGGAGTTTTTCAAATAGGGTTTTATGCTAACTTTTGCTGGGCTGGCTTTGAGCCTTGATCCTCCTACCTCTGCCTCCAGAGTAGTTTGGATTAACAGGATGTACCATCATACCTGGCAAAGAGCTTGATTATTTTTACCAACTTCTTTAAATGGTAAGCTCAGAGTAAAAGGATTTATACCATTGATTTTTCAAGTAAATACCTAAACAATACATAGGAGAGTGTTTTTAAATTGGCCATTTCTTTGTCTATAGAAATTTTGATTCCTTAAGGTTGCTTCAGATCCTAGAAACCTACATATTGTAGTTAGCACTTGAGATTTTTATGCAGGTGTTTTATGAATCATACTTTGAAAAACACTGCAGCAACACATTCATAGTGTTTATTACTTAATTGACTTTAAAGGACAAAAGCTGAGGGAATGTTCATAATTCTGCAAGGTGTAGTAATGAACAACCCTAATCCAAAATTTTGAAATGTTCCCAACCCCAAAGTTTTGAGCACTGATAAGAAGCTCAGAAAGTTTCAGATGTTTTAGTAATTCATGATTTCAGATGTGGGATGCATGATTGGTAAATCTGCAAATATTCTAAGATCTGAAAACCTCTGAAGTCTGATCACAAGCATTTTGGATAAGGGATATTCAGCCTGTATTTATTGTGCTTTTTTTTGTTGTTGGTAGTGGAGCTTGAACTCTGGGCTTGGACACTGTCCCTGCGCTCTTCAGCTCAAGGGGAGTGCTCTACCACTTGAGCCACAGCGCCACTTCCGGTTTTTGAATGGTTTATTGGAGATAAGAGTCTCACTGACTTTCCTTCTCAGGCTGGCTTTGAATGGTGATCCTCAGATCTCAGCCTACTGAGTAGCTAGGATTACCAGCGTGAGCCACAGCACCTGGCTATTGTGCTTTTTTTTCCTGACTTACAAAGAGGTTTCTTGTTAGACTGAAGGCTCATAGTAACTCAGCCGCATTTCCACATTTTTCTTTTTAATGAGAACTCTCAATCTTCACAAACAGTTCTGTTTGGTGCATTATAAGCAGCTTGAGTATATGGGCACAAGAATGGAATGAAAAATAACTCAATGTATTAAAACTGGTTCTCAAAAAATGAGGCTCTGACATCCAAAGATTACGTGCCTGCAAACATGATAACACATTTTATATGGATAGATCTAACAAGTCAATATGAAAGAAGTAGCTCAAAATTAAGAGAAAATAAGCCTTTGTCGCTTTTCATTTGAGCTTAGGGTTTTGGAATATGACTTCATAGGGCCTAAAATATTTCAGGATATCCCAGAATATTCACTTTGAGATTGCTAGGAAAAATGACATAATAAAGTTACTAGCTGGTGTGCTCCTGCCATTGCAACTACATGGGATACTGAGATAAGGAAGGTTGTGCCAGAGCAAAAAAGATCATGAGACTTAATCAAAGACAATAGGCACGGAGATGGGCACCAGCCAGCTATGATGAAAGTGTAAAGGATTGTGGCCCAAGTGAGGGTTTCAGCAAAAAGTGAGACCCAGGAATGTGGCTTAGTGGTAGAGTGCTTGCCTAGCATGCATGAAGTCCTGGGCTTGATTCCTCAGTGCCACGTAAACAAAAAGCTGGACGTGGTGCTGTGGCTCAAATGATAGAGTGCTATCCTCGAACAAAAGAAGCTCAGGGCCAGTGTCCCAACCCTGAGTTGAGCCCCAGGACTGGCAAAAAAAAAAAAAAAAAAAGACCCAGAAACCAGTGGGGGAAAAGACTGGAGGTATGGTTTAACAGCAGAGTACCTGTTTACCAACTGCAAAAAAGCAAAGTAAATGCGAACAATCTGGGATGCTCATTATTTAAGTGAGCATGTTTCTACTTTTTTTTTTGGTCGGTTGTGGGGCTTGAACTCTGGGCTTGTACGCTATTCCCCAGCTCTTCAGGGCAGAGTGAGTGCTCTACTGCTTGCGCCATACGACACTTCAGTTTTCTAGTGGTTTATTGGCGATAAGACTCATGGAGTTTCCTGCCCGGGCTGGTTTTGAACTGTGATCCTCAGATCTCAGCCTTCTGAGTAGCTAGGATTACATGCGTGAGCCATTGGCGCCCGGCCATGTTTCTACTTTTGTAGTGTGGAAGAGTCAACTATATACATACCATGGGTCATTTCTCAAATGACCATTGTAATTACTTCCTGTTTTATGGCAGCCTTGTGAGTGCAAACGTGTTTGGGTAGACCGAGCAGATACTTCTCCGTCAAAGAGACCAAGCTCATGGAATGTGGATGACTGAGATAAGATAAATCTCTTAAGAGGAAAAGAGACACTAGTCACGTAGGCAAAAAAATAAGGTCATCCAAAGTGTATGTTGCAATCTGCCTACAATGAAACATGCCCCTTTCATCACACTTGGTCCCCCCCTAGTAACCCTCTTTTGCTTTTGCTTTTTTTTTTAATTAAAAAAAATTTTTTTTTGGTTCCAGTCCTGGAGCCTGAACTCTGGGCCTGGGCGCTGTCCCTCAGCTCTTCAGCTCAAGGCTAGCGCTCTACCACTTGAGCCACAGCACCACTACTGGCGTTTTCTTTTTGCTTATGTGGTGCTGAGGAATCGAACCCAGGGCCTCAGGCATGTAAGGCAAGCGCTCTACCACTGAGCCACCTTCCCAGCCCCCTCTTTTGCTTTTTCTTATGGTGCTGGGGATCAAATCCAGCTTTGTGCATGCTAGGCAAGGGTTTTGCCACTTAGTATCATTTACAGCCCTACCTTGGTAACCATTGGATCTCCATAGAATTGTGAGAACACAACTTGAAAACTACTTTTATGGAGACAAATAATGACCTTGCACTAGATGGGTTGTAGTCTAATTCTGATACTTTTTATTTTGAATTTTTGTTTTTTGAGTGTTTTGGTGCCAGCACTAGGACTTGATCTTAGGGCCTCCTGCTCTCACTTCACTATTTGGCTTAAGGATAGCCCTCTGCCACTTGAGCCATGTCTCCAGTTCTGATTTTAACTCATTAGTTGGAGATAAGAGTCCAGTATGTCTGCCTGGTCTAGCTTCATCAAACCTTGAAGCTCGGATCTCAGCCTCCTTATAACTAATTCTAGCATTCTTAAATTACTTGGGGCATCTATGAAATAGGCAGTAATAATAGCTACCTCATACTGTTGTGAGGTTTAAGCCTGATAAAATATATCAATTATATATCACATAATAAATCTTTAAGACCAGGAAAGGCCAAGACAACAAGGTAGAAAAGAGTCTTAATTTAAGGACAAGTATAAGAAAGAGCCAGTTAGAAGTTGAATTGTCAAATCTGACAAGGGCAAGACTGATCTTGGGGTTGATGGTAAACCTGTAGTCTTGAGTTAAACAGTCTTAGGTGTCAAGGTTAAGATGTCTGAAGAGACGGATAGCCCAAGGTTCATTTGAAATCTTAATTGTAATTGCTGAATGATTTATTACATCATCTGAGACTGTACAACACTGAAATAAACTGGTTGAGAAATGCTGAAGGATACATGTACAAATTTACCCTGGTTCTATGTCCTAGAGTCAAAGTTCAAACCCAGATCAGCTATTTCAGAGTCTGGGTTCTTTGTTTACTATGAGATTTTTGTTATCGTTATTGGTTGTGGGGCTTGAACTCAGGACTTGGGTGCAGTCCCTGAGCTTTTTTGCTCAAGACTATTGCTGTACAACTTTGAGCCACAGTTCTACTTCCAGTTTTCTGGTGGTAAATTGGAGATAAGAGTCTCAGGGAGACTTTTCTACCTGGGCTGGCTTCGAACTGTGATCCTCAGATCGCAGCTTCCTGATAGGCCTGAGCCACCAGTGCCCATCTACAAGGAGTTTTTTTGTTGTTGTTTTTGTTTTTTTAGTGTCTGGTTAAAGGTTGGGTCCTATAACCAGACTGCTTGAATTCAACTTTTGACTCTAGCCTTAGAAGTTGTGCTTTAGCCTTCTACATCTCAGTTTCTCATATGGATGATAGTAGGGATATTAAGATTCATACTTTGCATAATTGAGAAGAATAAATGAGTTAACACAAAAAGTGCTTTGCTGCCTGGTATCAAGAAGGTAATACTATTATTTGTTATAGTTGGCGTGTATGTTTTATATGTTACTTGTCCCTACAGTAGCACTGTAAATTGCAGGGTGAAGGTACCTGTTTTTGTTGTTGTTTGTTTTTTTGTTTTTTGTTTCTTATCATAAGAGCCTAAAATGGCATAGTTTATTAGAAAGGATACTTAAGAATTTTAAATACGGTAGTTACTGGAGGAGCCTTACTGCCATGCATTTGTCATGATGACATATCTAAACCACTATCTGGATTTTTTTTTTCTTGGTCTTATTAGCTGCTAACCTTTAGGTTTCTCTCTTCTCTTCTGCCTTTGAAAAAAACTTTAAGGGGGCTGGGAATGTGGCTCAGTGGTAGAGCGCTTGCCTTGCATGCCTGAGGCCCTGGGTTCGATTCCTCAGCACCACATAAGCAAAAAGAAAAAGCCAGAGGTGGCACTGTGGCTCAAGTGGTAGAGCGCTAGCCTTGAGCTGAAGAGCTGACGGACAGAACCTAGGCCCAAAGTTCAGGCCAAAACTTTAAGGGGCTGGAAATGTGGCTTAGTGGTAGTGCTTGCCTAGCATGCATGAAGCCCTGGGTTCAATTCCTCAGTACCACATAAACAGAAAAAGAAGCCAGAAGTGGTGGTGTGGCTCAAGTGGTAGAGTGCTAGCCTTTAGTGAAAGAAGCTCAGGGACAGTGCCCAGGCCCTGAGTTCAAGCCCCAGGACTGGTGGGGGAAAAAAAAAGTTTAAATACTATTGATCCCTGATACTTACCCTTCCCTTCTTCCCATGTCTCCCTCAGGTCTCCATCCGCTTGGCCAATCAGAGGTTTTCAGGCTGGAGTGGAAAATGGGTAAGTTCTATTGTTCTATCTGACCCAATTTTTCTTTGTGTTCTTTCTCTTTTCAACTGGTTATGATAAAATATGTAAGAGGCTGTATATGAAGCTTAATTTTATGGTATCATTGAAAAAAATCACTAATTACATCAGAGAAAAGTACAAAGAATAAATGCCTGTGTACCTGGATACAAAAATACATTAATATTTTGTTACATTTACCTGGGTTCCTTTTTTTGTTTAAGAAATTTTAGGAGATGTGATTCAAGTGGTAGAGTGCTAGCCTTGAATGAAAAACCCAAACGAGCATGATGCCCTGAGTTCAAGCCTCACTACTGGCACAAAATAAATATATAGGAAGGAATTTTACATATGTAGTTAAAACTCACTCTTGTTCCTGCAAGAAGCAAAAAGTAAATCAAAGCTGATGTGTACTGTTTCCAGTTATATATATATTTACCATATATATGCAAATTAAAAAATAAATACTTTCTAAACAAAGAGCTTCAAACATTAGCTTCAAATTTAAATATAATATATGATAGATAACAATTTTTAGTTACACTATGGAACTTAGTTTTTATGTTAGAATCTTCTAAACTTGGTTGTGTGTCTTCAATACAAAGGTCATTTGGTATACCTTCAAGATTGTGGTAGCATTTATCATTTTACCATGAGATCAAACAGGAAAAGTACATCTTAAAAGAATACAAACTGGCTTAATATGGTGGTAGTTGCCAGTAACTACCATTCAGGAAACTGAAGCAGGAGGATTGTGAGTTTTTGGCTAGTGTGGGCTAGTTTGAGACTCAGTCTCAAACAAATAAGGCAGCCACATTTGCAGAGAAAGTAGGGAAGAAAATCAGGGTTCCTCTGTGGAGAAACTCCAGGAAATCACAATTAAGCAAGGCTTCCCTCTGCCTGTCATCTGATGTATTCTTTATAAATGGAGAATGGATCTTAATAGTTTCAACCTGGCCCATGCCCTGATGGGAATAAAGGTAACAGTCAAGTTCTGATACTGATTCAAGGATTACAAGGAAGTGGAGATGAGGTGGTAAAATTTATGTAAATAGAAAAATGAATTATCTTCACTTACGGAACACTGAAAAACATTTCATAATTGGACTTATGAGGAACCCACAAAAAGCAAATGTCTTGTGCCATATGAAACCCATAGATCTATCAGTCTCTGCTGCAAAAGATACCATCAAAAATCTATGCTTATAGATTGGTTTTTCCTAAAGCTGCAGCAAGTCAACAATAACCTGTTTTGTTTTGTTGTTTTTGCTTTTTACTAGTCCTGGGGCTTGAACTCAGGGCCTGAGCGCTGCCCCAGAACTTCTTTTGCTCAAGGCTAGCACCACTTCTGGCTTCTTTTTCTGTTTATGTGGTACTGAGGAATTGAATCCAGGGCTTCATGCATTCGCAGCAAGCACTCTACCACTAAGCCATATTCTGAGCCCCTGTTTTGACCAAGATGAGACTGTGCCTTTTTTTGTTTTGTTTGTTTTGTTTTTTAGTACTGGGATTTGAATGTGGGGACTTATATTTGCTAGGCAGCTCTGTCACTTGAACCAAATCCCCAGCCCTTTTTTTTGTAGGTCATGGGCTTGAACTCAGGGCCTGGATACTCTCCTTGAGCTTTTCTGCTCAAGGCTGGTACTCTACCACTTGAGCTACAGTGCCACTTCCAGTTTTCTGGTGATTAATTGGAGATAAGAATCTCAGACTTCCCTACTGGGGCTGGCTTTGAACTGTGAACCTCAGATCTCAGCCTCCTGAGTAGCTAGATGTGAGCCACCAGCACCTGCCCTCTACTCTACCCCCTACCCTCCCCACCCCCTGCCCCTGACTTTTTTGATTTCACTAAAGCTCAAGTAGGGCCTTATTGTGCCCTGTTGTCAGCCTGGATAGGGATCCTCCTATCTAAAGTTTCCTGAGTGAGTAGGACTGTACAACCACATCTTGTTTATTGATTGAGATGGGTTCTTATTTTTTACTCCCAATCAGTGTCCTCTGAGTATCTAAGATTACAGGTATGAATCATCATTCTCAACTGTGCCTCATTTTTGTTATGACATTCCCAACAAACACATTTCCCAACACTGCTCAAAAGATTGTCATGTCTCTGAAACAGTGGCTTTCAGATCTCTCAGATAACAGCCATGTGACTTTTTGAGAGGATATGTCAAGAACCTCCAGGTATCTCACAGCTGGAAGGAAATGCCATTTCAGTTATGCACAGAGGTGATGGGTCACAAAGGGACTAAATGAAGCTATATAGTTGATATAACAAGAAGGATATTTATTAAGAATTTGCAGAAACAGACATCTGACACCTGTGATAGTTCCTTTACTGATTCTCTTTGATTGCAGTGTTGTTACATTTTTACATGTTACATGTTGCATTTTATTTATTTATTTATTTTTTTTGTCGGTCGTGGGGCTTGAATTCTGTTCCTGGGTGCTGTCCCTCAGCTCTTCAGCTCAAGGCGAGCGCTCTACCTCTTGAGCTACAGCGCCACTTCCCATGTTACATTTTAAAGCATTCAATGATTTTATTAAGAAAATGTAATAAAATAAACGTAAAGACTTGGCAATACTTTCATTTCCCCAAAACTTTTCCTCATACTGTTTTCCAGTCTAGAATCCTACCCAAGAAACTCTCATCTGTTTTTTTACCACTGTAGATTGTATCATTTGTCTGTTTGTAATGCTCATTAAGCTCAGGGCCTCATGTGTGCTAGGCAGACACTCTACCACTGGGTTATACGTGAGCCCTGACAAACTCTTAATGTTGGCATCTTTGACTTATTTCTCCATATTGTGGCACGTATCAAATTAATTTTTAGCCACTTGTTCAGGGTTGTTTTTTTTGTCGGTCGTGGGGCTTGAACTCTGGGCCTGGGCGCTGTCCCTCAGCTCTTCAGCTCAAGGCGAGCGCTCTACCACTTGAGCTACAGGGCCACTTCCCAGGGTTGTTTTTATTTAAATCATTCTTCTTATTTTATTATTATTACTATTGGTCGGTCATGGGACTTGAACTCTGGGCCTGGGCACTGTCCCACAGCTTTCAGCTCAAGACAAGCACTGTACCACTTGAGCCACAGCACTACTTCCAGTTTTCTGGTGGTTTATTGGAGATAAGAGTCTCACAGATTTTTTCCTGCCCAGGCTGGCCTTGAACCATCATCCTTAGATCTCAGCCTCCTGAGGATTACAGGCGTGAGCCACCGGCTTCTTATTTTATGCTTCTTAAATTTTTGTATAAATGCTGTAGTGTTATACAATGTCTTAAAATTCATTCATTTGAAATGCTATATATTAATAACACCCTATGAGGACGTGCCATAATTTTAGCCCATTTATTAATAAATGGTTAGATTTTCTAATTTTTTCTCATTTTTAAATAATGCAGCAGATATCCTTAGACAAGTTTCTTGAGTATATATCTAAAAGCGATTGCTGATATGTAAAATGTATGTCTTCACTGTACTTTACATCTTGCTCTCTGAGTATGTAATAACACTTCACTGCCCACAGGTTGAAGAGCTTTCTGTATTTCTTAGTCCTTATCAACACTTAGTGTTATCTGACTTTTATCTTTTTGCCTGTTGGTTGTGAAATAGTATTTCATTAATTTATTTCTATATTTTCTTGACTGTTTATGTTCTCATTATGCTGTTAGATTTACTCTTAGTTGAATTCTGTTCATGTCTTTTGCCAACTCTTATAGCATATTTGTCTTTTACTAGTTTCTGGGAATATATATATATATATATATTTTCATTTATTCATTCTGGATGTTACTGTCATATTGGTAGTATGAGAGCACATATTTCACTAGTAAGTGACTTTATGTGTTAACTTTGATGTCTTGTGTAAAAATTAAAAAAATTTTGTAATATGATCAAACTTGTCACAATTTCTTTCCTGGTTTGTGTATTTTCCTGGTTTGTGTTTTTTGAAACCTTGAGGTTGTAAACATATTTATAGCTATTTCTTTAATCCAGAATTGCCTTTTCTTTTGATGTATCTGTGAGGTGGGAAGAGGAATCTTTATTCATTTGACTTTACAATTGTTTATAAACTATACATTAATCCATTTTTTAAAATCTTTGTGTTAGCCAGTTTCCCTCACAAATATACATATGTATTTCTTGGCAGTATTCTGTATATTCTGCTTGTCTATTCTTTAAATCAGTGTTTTCTACTCTTCTTAAGTATGAGGAAAACATTCTTTTCTTTTTTTTTTTTTTTTTTTTTTTTTTGCTCGGTCTTGGGGCTTGAACTCTGGGCTTGGGCGCTGTCCCTCAGCTCTTCAGCTCAAGGCGAGCGCTCTACCGCTTGAGCTACAGTGCCACTTCTCTGCTTGTCTATTCTTGAGTACCCTATTGTTTTTCATTATAATGTTTGTGATAAATATTATTATCTATAGTGATAACCACTCCCTCCTTTTTCAGAATTGGCAGAATGTTCTTGCTATTTGTGAATTTTAGGATCAGTTTATTCAGTCCAGTCTAAACCAACAGTAGTTAAAAAGTATTTTGAGATTGCATTGAACTTATTACTTTATTTGGATAAAATATGGCACCAGTGGTTTTGATTCTGTTTAGGTATAGGATATATTTTTTTGTTATTTATAAGGACTTATTTATTTATTTTTGGTCGTGGGGCCTGAACTCAGAGCCTGGGCACTGTCCCTCATCTCTTCAACTCAAGGCAAATGCTCTACCACTTGAGCCACAATGCCATTTCTGGCTTTTTCTGCTTATGTGGTGCTGAGGAATCAAACCCAGGCCCTCAGGCATGCAAGGCAAGCCTTCTACCACTGAGCCACCTTCCCCGCACCCTTCAATAAGGTTTTATACTTTAGCTTTAAAGATGACAGTTCTATTAAGGCCCCCCCCCTTTTTTTTTGTTGGTCGTGGGGCCTGAACTCTGGGCCTGGGCACTGTCCCTCAGCTCTTCAACTCAAGGCTAGTGCTCTACCACTTGAGCCACAGCGCCACTTTTGGCTTTTTCTGCTTATGTGGTGCTGAGGAATCAAACCCAGGGCCTCATGCATGCAAGGCAAGCACTCTACCACTGAGACACCTTCCCAGACTATTAAGGCCTTTTGACCTACAAGTCGTCAAAAAGAGGCCTGAAGTGAAAGATAAAAGGGCCACACTGATGGGTTACAGGGTGGAGAGAGTATCCAGCCTTCCTCCAGAAGGCACTTGGGGCCTTGCTGACAATGTGTTTAGATGTACTAGGAAGAGATTTATTTGGGGAGCCTTTAAAACCTCACTTTGTATGTATTATTTCTATGAAAGAACAGGATTTGTAAACTTTTTTCCATTATAGGACTGTTCTCAGAAGTGGCCTGAGGAGAAGCTAAGTATAATGATGTCAGTGCAGGCCACACTAGTGGATGAGGTAGGGAGGGGACAGGAGGAGCAGGGCCAGATGGGAAGAGGGCAGTCAGCTGAGGCTGACATGGAGACACATTCCTTCTTCCCTGAAGGCATAAGTTTTAGAATTCTGGGAAGATGTGAAGGTATGGTAAGCAAGTACCTGATCTGTTGGAGTCATTATACTTGAATTTCAGTTTTTGGCAGCTGATTTCAGCTCTCTGATTTGAGCTTCTTCAGAGCAATATTTTTATGTGTGAAGTATAATTTATATACTAGTCTACAAAACTCACCTCTCTCCAAACCAATTGCAAATCTGTTTATCTGATTTATCACTGGATTCTTCTTATTTTCTGTTACTAGATACCTTATACTCACTGTGAATGACATCTTTCTAAATTTGTTTCACTAGTATATTAGAAGCTTGACTCGTTTTCTTGGTTTTAGCAGTCAGTAATTAAGAAAAGAACCAGAAGAGACTAAAAACATTTTATTTTCTGTCATGTATTAGGATAGAAGAGAGTCTCTCCTTGTAACATATGATCACAGTTAAAAAAAATGCTGAAGGTTGAGGATATAGTTCAGTTTCTTAGCAAACCCAAGGCTTTGGGTCCATTCTCAGCACTGGAGAGTAAAAAAAGCCCAAACTTAGGAGCCTGAAGAAGATAAATAAAAAGGAACCCTTCAAATCAGAGCCATGTTTTGTGTTTACACCAGTAGAAAGAAGGGCCTGACGTTAACCTCCTTTCCCTTCTAGTTTATACTGCATCACTCTTTATACATTCTTTCATTTTCATGTGCTTTTAAAATACATACATATTTGGAATTAAACATTTTGATTAAATTTTTAATTTTTTTTTTTTTTTTTGATCGGTCGTGGGGCTTTGAACTCTGTGCTTGGGCGCTGTCCCTCAGCTCTTCAGCTCAAGGCGAGTGCTCTACCACTTGAGCTACAGCGCCACTTCCTTGATTAAATTTTTAATTTGAAGATTTTTATGAGTGCCATGAAAAACCACAAAAAAGGCTAGTTGAACAACTTTGGGGGGAGTGTGGGAGGGAGGAGGGAGGAGTTGGGGAGATGGGGAGAAAAGGGATGGTAGGGGAAAAATAAAGGAGGCTATAACAATGCTTGATAGGAAATGGACTCATTACCTTGTGCATGTAACTGTAACCCCTCTGTACAATATCTTTACAATAAAAAACTATAAAGAAAAAAAGGCTAGTGATAAGCCATTCAAATAAGCCATCAAAAAATGTAACATTTTAGCTGGCGCTTGTGGCTCACACTTGTAATCATAGCTGCTTGGGAGACTGAAATCTGGAGATCTGAAGATCGAAGTTGAAGCCAGCCAGGGCAAAAGAAGCACGTGAGACTCTTATCTCCAGTCAACCAGCAAAAAGCTGGAATGGAGTTATGGTTTAAGTGGTAGGGCACCATCCCTGAGAAAGAGCTAAGGGAACAAACCCAGGCCTTGAGTTCAAGCCCCTTCTATCAGCATATGTGGGCATGTGTGCACGCTCATGCGTGCGTGCGCGCACAGCACACACATATACTCTTTGTAGGTAGCATCTGTGGCATGGTTGTCAATGAGTAAAAGCAGCTGGTAGGCAAACTAAGAGAAAACAAGGTGAGACATTGAGGTCATAAAGGAAATCTGCAGTGATTGCTTCAGTAGTTTTTCTTTCAACTCAAAACGATGTCAATTTCTGGTCACTTGATCTCAACCTTTTCCACTCTTCCAATTACGTGTTAGTCTGGAGCTTTTTTCTTTCAGTGGTCTAGAATTTGCAATGTTTCAGAGAGGAAGTACTACTCACACTTAGTTTTAATCAGTAAAGCTGAAATTGGTATTTTGCCCTTGGATAGAAAAGTAATTAATTTTTTTTGCATTTTATTTTAGTCCCTGTGTATATGCCATTTTTCCTGGGTCCATGGGAAGCATGACTCCATTGGAACTTGGCAGAAGAAAAAAATAAGACATCTTCACAAAGAAAACCAGACACTAGAAAAGTGTGGCCAAACCCTGAAGAGACAGAAACATGACTGACAGTGGACTTAGGGACACTCCAGAGGGTAAGACTAGTTTGGAAAGCACTGAATTTGTGCTTTAAGAAGCTAACATTGCCTTTAGAGAGAACATCTCTTACGACTAAAACTGAAATTGTGAAATTAGCCATAAATACTGGAATATATCTCTAAAACATAAAGGTGAGCCAGTGGCTTTATCCTATAATCTTAGCTAGTCAGGAGGCTGAGATCTGAAGATTGAGGTTCTGATCCAGCCTGGGCAGAAAACTCTGTGAGACTCTCATCCCCAATTAACTAGCAAAAACTTGGCAGTGGAGATACGGATCCAGTAGTAGACCACCAGTTAAGAGCAATAAGCCCTAGTACTAACAAACCACCCCACCCCCAAAAGATAAAGTGAGTGGTACTTTAGTATCATTGACTACTTGGCATGTACATTTTCCTGATTGTCTTATAAATTCTTTCTTTCCGCTTCTCCCTGCTCCCCCTCTCCCCCCACTCCACTCCATGGGGTAGAATTCAGACCCAGGGCCTTGTGGATGCTAGACAAATGCTCTCATCACCAGGAAACATTCCCAGACTTATACCTATTTCTTTAGAGATTACCTTATTCAAAACCGCATGTAACATTGTGGTCTGTATATTGTATTTGGTTAATGTGTCTTTTAAGAGTAGGTTTCTTGCCAGGAGTTGGTGGCTCATGCCTATAATCCAAGCTTCTCAGAAAACTGAGATTTCAGGCCAGAAAGTCCATGAGACTCTTATTTGAAGTGCAGTGATAATTATTGCATTTCATTATTCCTTTGGTTTAAAATAAACTAATCTCCAAAGAAATATTTACTAGTTTCAGTGGTAGAGTACTTGCCTACTATGCCTAAGGCCCTGGGGTTCAATCTTCAGTACTGAAAAAAAAAAAGAAGTAAATGTTTCAGATAATCACCAAATGTTTGATGATACTAAGAAATTATTTTTCAGGCTGGGAAGGTGGCTCAGTGGTAGAGTGTTTGCCTTGCATGCATGAGGCCCTGGGTTCGATTCCTCAGAACCACATAAGCAGAAAAAGCCGGAAGTTGTGCTATGGTTCAAATGTTAGAGCGCTAGCCTTGGGCAGAAGAGCTGAGGGACAGCACCCAGGCCCAGAGTTTAGGCCCCATGATCAAAAAAAAAAAAAAAAAAAAGAAATTACTTTTAATCTGTCAGGTTTGATAAAGGTATTGTCATTATGTTTGTAAACAAAAAGAATCTTTATATTTTAAAGATTTAGGTGTTTATGGCTAAAATTACAGGATGTTGATAAGTTGCTTTAATTAAATGATATAAGACAGAAATGAGAGAGTACAGAGGGCATATATTTATATAAATTTTATACACACATTTTCATTTGTAGCCCAGGCTGACCTAGAATACTCTTTAAGTAGTCAAAGCTAGCCTCAATCTCCTTTCCTGCCTTGGCCTCTGGAGTGTTGAAATACAGACGGATGTCACCACACTTAGCCTTGTATTTTAGCTCAGACTGGCTTTGAACTTTCAATACTCCTGTTTTAGCCTCTGCTGTGCCACCTTTCTTGGCTTAAAGAAGGTATATTTAACTTACCTAAAGTTTTATCATTTAGGGTTGTTTTACATTGTTATTAGTTATTAGATTTATTGACATGATAAGTTTAGTCAGCTTTAGTGGGATTAAAGGAAAGTAATGCTGAGAAAGAGTACTTTGTAAACCATTAATCTTTTTAAATATTATTTATCAAGGGACTTTGTTACAATACAAAAACTTAAAGGGAATATTTTAAAAATAAAGTGTACATTTTTATCCCACTAGACTCTCAAAAGGATTTTGAAAATGATTCATCAATAAATTCTCAGGCACCAGAGATTACAGTCACATCAAGTAATATTGAAGATGAGACTCAACAACCTGTCTCTAATCTTAATGAAGACTTCCAAGAAGTAGAGGATTTAAAAGCCTTTGAGGAAAAAAGCTTAGCAAGTGCTCAGGCCCCAAGTTCAAGCCCCAGGACTGGCACAGATACAGGTGATAAATCAGCAAGCCCAGATGAAACCAATTTTAGGAAACATCCAGAAGATAAAACAGAGCATGAGAACAACCCAAGTTTTCAAGATGGAGAACAAGAGGATCACCTCCCTTCAAAACGTCTGAGTGAAGAACACTTGGATCTAGATCCTAGCCATTCTCCAGGAGATGAGATAGGAAGAGTGGATGTGCACTCAAGAGGCAGCTCTGCAGACCTGCCTGTGGGGGCAAGTGGCGGAAACAGAGCTTCTCAGGAGCCACCTGCAGGTGCCTTGGGGGGCCAGAGTCTTGTACATTTCAGTACAGGACCAGAAAGCCAGGATTTACTAAGGAGGCGATTGCCTGTGTCAGGTGAGAGAATAGTAGTTACTCTTTTGTATTGCCTAAGTCCAGGGCCTCCTTTAAGAACTTTGGTTTATCTTTCATGAAGTAAGGCATTTGGCCTTGTTCACTGACATCCAAAGCAATTAGATACTGGAATAAGGCTTCCAATTTCTTACACTAGCTTACTCTATTATATTAAGTTGCTTCTACATAAACTGCATTTTAAAACACTTGTAGAGTAAATGTAATGTTTAAGCAGTATGACAAAAAGAATTGGCTTTGGGGAGGTGATAGCCAACGTCTCTACATTTCTTACCTTCTGGTTATGTATGTGGATTTATATTTTATAAGTACCTTGACGAGCTCAATTGGAAATTCCTATTTGACAGTACAAAGAAGTATAAAATACATGATATTGTATTAGTGAAACTTAGAGCTAGTAGTTGATATTTTACTACAATTCAGTGACTGATGTATAAGAAATGTTTCATTTGTTTGTCATTAGAATAGTCTGAAGGCAAGAACTATGTCCTTTTTTCATTGTTTCTATAGCAACTGGGACATAGAAACAACTTTATAAATATTTATTGAATGAATGAGTTGAATCAATGTTATTGTATCTGTGATTAGAATTTCACCATTGTTCCAGGTCTACTGTAAGTAGAAGAATAAACTTCTTTTTAAAAATGAAGTTTAAGCTGAGGATATAGCTTGCTTAGTATATAGGAGGCCCTAGATTTAATCCTACTATCATAAGAAAGTGCAGTGAGAATATTTTCCAAAGTGTAGAAATCCTCTCAGTCACATAATTTGGTAAAGGGTATGCTCTTACAATGTATTGCTTAAAAATAGTATTATTCTTCTCCCTTCTCCCCCCCCCCCCCCCCCCCCAGAGATTGGAAGTCAGGAAGAAGAAATACATACAGCAGAAGAAAATCAGAAGATTACAGAAGATTCCAAAAGAAAAACTGATAAAAAGAGTTCATGTAACTATGGTGAGAACAGACCTGGTTTTATTGCATGTGTAAATCCTCAGTGGATGTGCCTATAGAAAATAAAACACTTTTAACATTGTGTTAATATATTTAAGACATAAAGCAATACACTTTTAAGTGTTTAACAGTAGAACTTTTTATAAACAAGAAACTGAAAGTGCCTTTTCAGTAAGATATCACTAACTTTTCAAGTGCCATTTTTAAGTTTTCATTTGTATGGTGTGTGTGTGTGTGTGTGTGTGTGTGTGTGTGTGTGTGTGTGTGTGTGTGTGTGTGTGTGTGTGTGTGTGTGTGTGTGTGTGTGTGTGTGTGTGTGTGTGTGTGTGTGTGTGTGTGTGTGTGTGTGTGTGTGTGTGTGTTGAGGATTGAACTCAGAGCCTTGTAGGCTCATGCTGTACCACTCAAACCATACCTTCACTTCTAGTTTTTTGCTGGTTAATTGGAGATGAGTTTCATGAGCTTTTCTGCCTGAGCTAGCTTCAAACCACGATCCCAAGATCTCAGCGTCCTAAGTAGCTAGGATTACAGGCATGAGCTTGTCTTTTTTTTTTTTAGATTATTTTTGTTTTTATTTTGAGACAGTGTCTTGCTATATAGCCCAAACTTGCAATCCTCCTCCCTCAGCCTCCCAAGTACTGAGAGCTAGTGTATCACCTTGACCAGTTCCTTTTAAAGTTTAGCTCCTAAAAAATGGTCTGCTACAGTAGTAAGTACTTTGAGGAAGTATAAAGAAATCCCAGTAGCTCACTTATAAAGCACATTATTAGTTACAACAAAAAATACATAAACTCACCTTTTCCCTTTTAACAAAGATACATAATCTCTTCAAATAATTGGAGAAGAGATTTTTTTTTTAAGTATTTTTGTTAAACTTTAAAAGTGAAAGTAATCTATTAAGGCCAAAGGAACTTAACACTTTCAATAAAGCCTAGCTACACAACCTACTTCATTTCAGTTTACCAGAGACTTTGTTTCTGACTCATGTTCTCTCTCAATTTTTGGTTCTTTGACAGGTCCCATAGTTTTTGGCTGCATCATTGGGGCATTTGTGCTAACTTCTGTTGTTAATAGCTACTATTCTTCTCCAGCCCAACAAGTGCCCCAAAATCCAGCGCTAGAAGCCTTCCTGGCTCAGTTTGGCCAATTGAAGGATAAATTTCCAGGCCAGAGTTCCTTCCTGTGGCAGCGAGGACGTAAGTTCCTCCAGAAGCACCTCAATGCTTCAAATCCCTCGGAGCCAGCAACCATCATATTTACAGCAGCTCGAGAGGGAAGAGAGACCCTGAAGTGCCTAAGCCACCATGTTGCCGATGCCTATACCTCTTCCCAGAAAGTCTCTGCCATTATGATTGATGGGGCTGAGAGAGCCTTGCAAGACAGTGACACCGTCAAGCTGTTCGTTGACTTGGAGCTGAGCTATGGATTTGAGAAGGGCAAGAAGGCTGCTGTGGTACACCACTTCGAGTCCCTTCCTGCAGGCTCCACTTTGATCTTCTACAAGTACTGTGATCATGAGAATGCTGCCTTTAAAGATGTGGCCCTTGTCCTCACTGTGCTTCTGGAGGAGGACACATTAGAGGCAAATGTAGGCCCAAGGGAAACGGAAGAAAAAGTGAGGGATTTACTTTGGGCCAAATTTACCAACTCTGCCACTCCCAGCTCCTTCAACCACATGGACTCAGACAAATTGAGTGGGCTGTGGAGCCGTATTTCACACCTGGTGCTGCCCGTCCAGCCTGTGAAGAACATAGAAGAACATGGGTGCCTTCTAGAAAGCCAAGCACAAGGCTGGTCCCAGAAGAAAGACAACCTGGGATTTTGAAAAAGCCACTTAAAAGGTCTTCCATTTCTGTGGCAGGAGGTTGATAAATGAGGGGGAATAGCCTGAAAAGGTACTTGTGAGCTTACTTTGGAAAAGATGCTGTCATTTTTCTATCAAAATCTTCAATGAGACCAAACGTGGATGTAACCTTTTCTTTGCCTTTTCAAGCAGATCATTTAGAACATAGCAATGGTATTTAACACTGAGGAAAAAAAATTTTAAAATCCCAAAACACAATAGCATAATCATTGCACAAGAAGTTATACTTCTAGAGAACGATTTTTGTTTTCTTATATGTCATTCTCAAGAGCCTTTTGAATAACATTTGGACTTGAACTAAATTAGTTAGAAAGCTATGATAATTTGTAGGAAACTTATCTAGCATATATTGAATATTTTATAACCTGTAATTGTGGGATTATATGTTATACTAATTTGCACTTTTTAGTATAGAAAATTCAACACAGTAGAACCTTAGCTAGATACTTGCTGTATGTAAGGCACTATATGCTTTCATTCCATTAGTGACCTGAGGCAAAAAAGTTCTTAAATATTGGAATCATGGAGAAATTGTAATGATTGGAAAAGAAGAAATCCCAGTGGTCTGGATCTTTACTTCAGCTTTCTTGATTATTTAAAGCAAAGATTTTCAAACTCTTTACCATCCTCTCTCCCCTGTGTATCAGAGGAGTCTGCTTTTCAGTTTTTATATTGGGATTCTCTAAGATTTCATGGGAACAGAGAGTTTCACTAATAATGACTAAGTTTGAAACCATTGATTAGGTGAAAAAATATCTTAGAGATAGGAAATCAGCAAAAAAAGATTAAGGCCTGCAAATGAACAGCAGAATATATAAGCTAGCATTTGTGAGCATTGTGTGAAGGTTTTATTCATTTCTGTTAATCTGTCTTCTTGAGATGGAATTTATAATTGTTTAAGATGAAAGTTTGAATGTCATTTTAGACAAGATTTTCATAATAATTTAACAATAGCTTTTATAAGAACACATTGGCATAACTTTGCCGAATAGCTTATTGGTTGTGCTGTGATGGAACACTATGTAATGTAGATCATTTCTTGACACCCAAGAATCAAGGTTAAGAATTAGAGAAATGCAAGAAATCTTATAGTTAGTAAGATGAAACAGAAACCGCCCATTTTCTGAGGTTTTAATGGCCAATATCAATTGCTGGTCCATAGTCCATGATTGTAAGGGAGATTGGAAACAGTATCTGTTGATTTGCATTTGAGCTCTGAAAGCAGAACTCCAGTAAAATCATGACCTAACAAGGATCTGTTCTATTATATGGACTATTGTCAAGTCTTAGAATGTTTTTTTTTTTTCAGTCTTAGAATGTTTTAAACTAGGTTTTTGCCTCTTCTATGAGAGCATGGATGCATATATAGTTAAGTCATATAATTAAAGTCTGGAAGGATTTTAGGAAACACTAAGAAGGTATAAGGATTGAAGATACTTAAAAAGATCACAGAAGCCTGGGATTGTGAACCTATACTCCTAGCTACTCAGGAAGTTGAGATTTGAGGATTAAGGTTTGATGCCAGTCCAGGCAAAGTCAAAAGCTGGAAATGGAGGTGCAGCTCGAATGGTTTAACACTAGTTATGAGCAAAAAAGCCAAGCAAGAGCTTCAGACCTTTGTTCAAACCCCAGTATAGGCAAAAACAATAAAAGTTTAAAAAATCAGGCACAGGGAAGAGACACCTGTTTGAAAATATCTGCCTCAGAAAAACACAAATTTATTTTTAGTGAGACCTTTATTGTGCTCAGTTGAGTATAGTTGCATGTTAAAACAACACTGTACATTTATGATTTTGAAGGAATCTATTTGAGAAAAGACTGAACACAAGCCTAAAGCATGGTGAATTAATGTGTCAGTCCAATATAAAATCAGAGGAAAATGAAGACAAATTTATATGCTACATTTGATTTTTCCCCCTGTATTTTTAGATCATAGATGGTAGCATTTCATCACATAAAACCAATGGTGCCTTGTAGAACTGTTATGTTAGCCTACAGGCCTGTGCTACCTCAGACCTACAAAGGAACCAGTCTAAAATACAAACACTTGGTCTCTATCAGTGACTCAGATTGTAGGTGAAAACATAGGCAATTGTTTTTTCATTCATTTGAAAAAGGTTTTTCATCATCTTCTCTCTATAATTTAGAAAAATAAGGTTTAAAACTTTCTTTGTTTTTTTTTCTTATTTGCTATTTTGGCTTTGTTAATAGACTTTCTCTCATTTGTAAGTGTAGCCCACTGAGAATGTTTTCAGTTTTTGGCCTGCTGTTTTTTATGGTGTTGGGAACTGAACTCAGAGCTTTTGCACATATTAGGCAAGTGCTACTTGCCACTGACCTACGCCCCCCAGCCCTTCTGTCCACTATTCCAGAAATCATTTTAAGAAGAGACAATGTCTGTCTTCTCATGAGTAAAATACTTTGTTTTTCTTTTTTTTTTTTTTGAGATAAGGTCTTGTTATGTAGTACAGGTAGCTTCAAACTCACTAACCTTCTGACTCAGCCTCTTGGTGTTGTAATTAAGAGTCATACAGTCACACCTGGCTGAAAATGATTATTTTTAAAACATAAAACTTTAAAAAATGTACAAATAGTCTGACGCTGGTGGCTCATGTCTGTAATCCTAGCTACTCAGGAGGCTGAGATCTTAGGATCTCGGTTCAAAGCCTCTTATTTCCAATTAACCACCAGAAAACTGGAAGTGGCACTGTGGCTCAAGTGGTAGAGCACTCGCCTTGAGCTGAAGAGCTGAGGGACAGCGCCCAGGAACAGAATTCAAGCCCCATGACCCACCAAAAAAAAAAAAAGGACAAATAATGAAAACCTATTATCTAATGTACTCTTTTAAGTTAATTTCTAAACCATCATTTGTTATTTTACATTTGTCAAGCTTTCAAACTTGTATATCAGTTCCTCTTTCATTTTTATTGTGATACTTTTCTTTTTGACATTGAAAAATTATTTGTGGGCACATGATAGCATCCGTAATACTTAAAACTCACCATTTAGTTATTATCACAGCCCAACTTCCATTGCATAACATATCAATGTATATCAATTCTTCAACAATGCTGGAATTTTAGGAGCAAGTAGGGGAATCAGAAAATGTTTTTGGATTTGGATTTCCTCCTGACCCCTCTTAGGGTCAAATTTAGGTTTTTCTGATTTGTTTCCAGGGTTTGGAAGAAAAGTTCCAGAGATTTCATATCACTAAATGTAGTAATGCTATTTGTGTTTTGTCTTTTTTTAATCAGTAAAGTAGTTGTAACACATCTCATTTGAATGCCTCCAAGCTTATGGTAGTTAGGTAGGCTCAGAACACTTTCGGTCTATTGTCTCAGCAGTGGCCCAGCAGAACACTCTAGCCACTGTACAGCTTTTGTTTGACTTAGTGTGTGTGTGTGTGTGTGTGTGTGTGTGTGTGTGTGTGTGTTCTATAGCTTGAAGTCAGGGCCTGGGTACTACGGTCCTTGAGCTTTTTTTGCTCAAGGCTACTGCTTCAACCACTTGAGCCATAGCTCTACTTCGAGCTTTTTGGTGGTTAATTGGAGGTAAGAGTCTCACAATTTTCTGCCTGGGTTGGTTTCAAACCATGATCCTCAGATCTCAGTCTCCTGAGTAACTAGGATTATAGATGTATAGATGTGAGCCACCAGCGCTTGGCTTGAGTTACATTTTAAAGATAGGACACAATAAGAACATGGATGTTAGGGTATAACAAATACAGCATGTGAATGAGAATCCAGCAAGATTTCATGAGACTTATTTGCATCTTTCTAATACCCATTTTTGAGTCCTGCTGAATTTTGCCTTTATGTACTTAATGAGTGGGCTTTGCCAGCATTGATGTCTAACTTCTTGGCATATGACCATGATTGTTTGTGCATCTGATTGGTATGAATATTGAATGTGCCTTATTCAAATTTTTTGATTATAAAAAATAAATCTTAATTTTTCTCAGCCGACTGGTTCTTGATTTAAGCTTCCAAAGTAGCAAGTTTAGAGAAACATGTGGCCATTTGTGGTCGGAGAGGAAACAGCCTTTATTTAACAGTTAGCTGAAGAGCCTTGTGAGGGTCAGGTGGCCTTCATGGCACCAGTAAAGAAGAAATCGTGAGCATAGCACTGAGAGTTGCTTTTAACCTGGTGTCTTGGGATGTACCAAGTATGGACACTAGTCAACTTGTACTTTGGAAGTGTGTGTGTGTAGACTTTGTCTCCAAATATTGCCAAACCAGAATTAAGAGCAGAAGCACTAGGGCATCCCTTATTTCCTCATGCCTTTCTCCATGTTCTCCCCTCCTCTGTATTCCCCAGTGGCAGTGGGAGGATAGCTCAGTTGGAAGACTTATGACCTCTAAAGAGCAAGACAATCCATGGAGGCAGAGTTAAAGGTGACAAAAAATTTTATTTACACTATTTACACCAGAAAGGGGTCCTGCAATACTTTGTCCTGGGCTAGATCCCCAGAACCAAGAGCAGCCTCGACCACCAGACCTCCAACCCTCCAAAAGGCAGCCCCAACCTTTATTAGTTGGTCTGCAAACCACCAATTAGTCTGCAAACCTGCAAACCTCAGACCTCCAAAGCTCCAACTCTCCAAAGAGGAAAGCCTTTTCCTTTTCTTCCCTTCCTCCTCTTCAGGCCTTTCCATTGTCCACAGGCCTGCCCTGCTCTGCTCCAGGAAGCGCCTCTTCGCAGGTCTCTCTAGAGGAAGGTCCCAAATGGCCTCCAGGGTAGGCCCCAAAGAAGAAGCCTCAATGGCAGCCAAGTCCAGCTCCAGAGCTGAAAGGTTAGAGGGTGGCAGCAACTTAAGACTCAGTGTGCCCAGGTGGCTGCTCCAGGCTCCGGAGCCTCAGAGATGGGACATACTCCCACGTGTGTCCCTGAGAGACTTCCCAGCGTGGCTCCTCATTCTTGGGCAGAAGTTGACTTAGAAAAATCATCTTGTTGTAATGTAGCTTACAAAAATCAAAATAAGCTAAAGCATGAATTGAAAAAGCCTTGTTCCCCTCCCCTTGTCAGTTCCTATCTCCTCCCAGAAGAAAACTTTTTATCAGCTTTGTGTGTGTCTCCAATGTAATATTTGATATTACAGCTTTCATCTTATTTAAAATCCTCAATTCTTAATTTTTTTTCCCTTTCTTGTCAGTTCCTGACTGCTCACCTGGGGCCTCAGGTGTGGGGCAGGATGAGAGAAGGATCATGAGAAGGGTAGGGTGCTGGAGAGGCCTTGAGGAAGGGGATCTTTAGATCAATCTAGAGCCTTCTGGTTTAGGGAAGGAGCTTGAAGGAGGGCAAGGCCTGTGGTCTAATTTCAACATAATTTGACCAGAGTGTAGATCCTCCCTGATGAGCGCTCCTTGGTTGGTTTTAGGAGCACAGATGTAATTCCCAATAGGTAGCACAATTCCAAGTCCAGGCAAAACATTGGGCTGCTCCTATAGGGATGGGCTGGATGGCTGTAGCCCTGGCTTGCACTAGGGGGTATGTACTGGACTCTGCTCCTCCACATGCTCAGATACCTGTGTCTTATGACCAGATGCAGATGGGAAGATGACCTCATATGTCCAAGGTGGTCCAGCCACCAAGCCTTAGGCAGTTCGGAACTGACTTGTCCACTGGAACCCTGAGGTGACTTCTGCCCATCCCCCACTCCTATTGTGACTGGGGTTCCCTCTGCTGTAGATTGTAGGAGTTGTGGGTGATTGGTGACAGAGAAAAGTGAGAAGGCCAGGTGTTCTTCTGAGGCCTGGTCAAGCCTCCCCCGGGTAC